CAACCCAATCCTCTTTCGAGCGGTGTTGTGCCCCAAATCAGCACCCTTCAAAGCCAGATTCAACGCACTAACCCGAATATGTCCCCCGAGCAAGTGACCAAGCTGGCCACGGATCGACTCAACCAGTATCAGCAGCAGCAACAACAGCGCTTGTCCCAACAAGCGGCGATGAATGCTGCTGCAGGTAGCATCAATGCAAATGCCGTTCAGGCTAACTACCAAGTTCCCCACGAGGCTGGTTTCCAGACTCCGAACGGCGGTTCTGCAATGCAGGTCCCTCAGAATCAAGGGTTCTCCCCAATGATGCGGGTCCCCCAGGCCGGTCAGCAAAACCGTGTTGGCGCGAATAGCTCGCCCGCCATGAACGGTGCTGCACCCCTGCCTAGTCGTAGCGCCACTCCTCAAAACCAGCGCAGCGGTAGTGCTCAAGCTGGCGCCGTTCAAGGTTCCAGCAAGAGCCCGCATGCTCCGGCAGCCCAGACCGCGACCAGCTAGGAGATTGTTCAACATGTCCCCTTCTTCTCCCCTGAAATACCTTTGCGAATCCATTCCTCCTCCTCACTTTACGTTCGTCTGTACATACTTACACCAACCCTTATGCTGATTTATTTTTTATACTTTGTTCTTCACCGTTGACTCGGCTTCTCGCACTACACCTACACCTACACCTACCCTACACCTACACCTACCCCATTTGTTGACCTCTACCACATGTGTGCTCTTTTATTTTTTATTTTGGCTTGTTGAAAACGATGTTCATCTATTTGAACTTGATATGCACTGGCTCTTTTTACACCAGTGCTGCTCTGAATTCTGGGCTTGGGCTTGTATTATTGGGAATAGGCGAAACTGGGACGGACGGATTATTTTAGGAATTGAAATGAATTGTATGATTAGTTTGAAGGTTGTGTTTCATGGGTTTCTGTGTAGTCGCATAGTTGCATACAATATAACTAGTTAGTTATATGGTAGCGCTTGCCAACAAACCCACTCCTTCCGCTCATTTCTCATTTCTCTCGGCGTGATGTGACTTGCTTCTGACTCCTCTCAAGATGATCGAGGATAATATGAATGATTTGAGGCACGAAAAACGTACTGATCCAACCACCGCTGATGGATGCCCATGTTTTCAACAGTTTCACATCTGCCAGTCCAAGGGCGCAAATCCCACGACCCAGGCCCGGGGAAAGCTATCTCGACCATATACCTAGGTAGATAGTCGACTGGTCTTCAATCTTTACCATTAACCCCATGGAATGATACACTTAATCACCAGCCCTGAGTGTTGTAAAGAGAGGATAGAAGAGTGGATAGAAGAGAAGATGAAGTTGAACGTATCCTAGGTATCTCATGGATATACCATAATTTCTATTCTTAAGACAAAAGGAAACAAATTATTAGTTTAACAAGCTATCCCGAACTTTAAAGACTGAAGGAGTTCGGAGGTAATCATAGATAATAATACATAAGTAAAAGCAAGAGTAGTACCAGAATAATATAATATGACTACCCACCACTCGTGTGTCCACGCATCATAGGGTCCCCAAACAGCGACAGCAGCTCGACATAAGGCACATCTTCTGACTGGGGACATTCTATAGCAGTTTCGAAGTCCAACATGGTCACGGCTCCTATCTCCCTTTGATATAAAACGTTGTGTTTTCCAGCATCGGGCACGTGGATTGATAGAGACCGAAGAATGCGGATAGCCTTGTTACACAGTATGATCGATTTTGGGATGATAAAGAGTTGATTCTTCTGAAGGCAACTAGCTGCCGCTTAATACTACCCAGCTGGTCAGCTGACGTAGCTGTCTAAGCATAACTAACTACCTAGGTAATGTGTGTAACAAGCCTTCCCACATTCCTCACGGACGTGGGTTCGCTCGCGGTTGCCAAGTTCGTCCCAGATATGGGCGAGGGTCTGTCCATCCTTATAGGGGAGGACAAGTACCCTTCCGTTAGGGAATAAACTCGAGCATAGTATATTCCCAGCAAGTATCATGTTCGCGAAGACACCGTAACCCCTACTAGGGGTCGTGAGTCTGACAGACGCTCATAGACAGCACATTCCGCATTCGACCTAGACGAGTACATATAGTGAGATAAGGACCAGGACAATAGCAATCGGAAATGTACTTACGCCCGATCGTATCTAGGACTCCAGCACTTCACGATATAGCGTGTTCCTTGGTGTTTAATCTCGAAGAGAGCCTTATCTGTCTGGCTAGGGGGTGAAATCCTCCGGGACACGTTTAAGATAGAAAGCGCTCCTCCCTGGTGGCTGAGAATGATTGTATTCGGGGTAACGTTCACGTTCAGTCCGGTCAGTAGACTGCCCTCAGTGGCATGGTCTCTAAGCCCAGAAGGGCGGAGAGAAGCCTGTAGACCATCTTGACCTCGAAGCTGACATTCATATTAGCGGAAATATGCCAACACCCTTTGAATATAACTTACTCGCTCTGCCCTAAAGTCTGAACCCTCGATGTAGTCATGGCCCTGTTCAGCAAGGATACAGAACCCCGCAAAACACTGCCGAACAGACAAATTCGTATCCCGGTCTCGAATCGGTGGGGAGACACAGAAGGCGAAGTCAGCTGGATTACCTCGTGGTGAGGAATTTTCAGTCTCTCTCACTTCACTCTCACTTCACTCTCACTTCTATGTCATTTCTTGCCGCGTTTCTGCCTTTAGCCGACATCATCTATATATACACACCTTCTTGACATAACAATTCTGGAAGTTTATAGAACACACCTTTTGGAATCAGGGGCTGCATATAGTCACAAAAATTAAGGAATGAGAATTCCATAGATGCCAAACGGAATACGGAAATAGAGTGTTTGAGAATGGCTTTTAGCGCTAACACTTAATCAAGTCTATACGTTTCAAATCACTTAGTGCCACTTTATAGTATGTATCGACCCCATAAATGCTTGGCTAGGGTTTCAGAAGAACGCCCAATACTATAACTCCGTAAGGCTGTCTGGGATATTATCTACACTCAGGGGTTGTATATTATTTACTTAGAATCCGATGTGAATTTGCATTTCCCTTATCCCTTTCATTTTGTTTCTTTTCATTCCTTTATTTTATAATTCATTTGTTTCAATATGTACTTTTCTTCAGCGATCGCAATCGGCCTGGCGCCATTGCTCGCAAATGCCTACCTCAGCGGTCCAGTCGGCCCAACAACCACCGTCTCCACTAAATCTGCCAACAAAATCTGCAATGTACTGGACTATGGCGCTGTAGCAGACAAATCGACCGATGTCGGCGCAGCCATCACCTCCGCCTGGGCAGACTGCAGGGACGGTGGAGTGGTCTACATCCCGTCTGGCGACTACGCCTTCGAGTCCTGGGTGACTCTGTCAGGTGGAAAAAACTGTGCTATCCAATTGGACGGTATTCTCTATCGGACTGGTACCGATGGCGGAAACATGATCATGGTCAAGCATACTACAGACTTTGAACTGTTTAGTTCTACCTCTGAGGGTGCTGTGCAGGGGTATGGATATGAGTACCATAAGGACGGATCGAGCAGTGGAGCGCGGATTCTGAGACTATTTGATGTGACTGACTTTTCGGTTCATGATATTGCTCTTGTTGATGCGCCTGCTTTCCATTTCTCTTTGGATACTTGTGAGAATGGTGAGGTTTATAACCTTGCTATTCGTGGTGGTGACAAGGGTGGGTTGGATGGAATTGATGTTTGGTCGACTAATATTTGGATTCACGATGTCAGTTGCTTGTTCTATTGTCGTGGAGAGTAGTTTCTAACACCAAATAGGTCGAGGTCACCAACAAGGATGAGTGTGTTACCGTCAAGGTATATATGACTTTGAAGAACTCCAGAAGACAGAAACATGGCTAACAATAAGACAGAGTCCCGCCAAGAACGTCCTCGTTGAAAATATCTACTGCAACTGGAGTGGCGGTTGTGCTATGGGATCACTCGGCACCGACGTCGACATCAGTGACATCACCTACCGCAATGTCTACACCTGGAACTCAAACCAGATGTACATGGTCAAGAGCAACGGTGGCAGCGGTAATGTCGAGAACCTCGTCCTCGAGAACTTCATCGGTAAGCACGACACCATCCACCACCCATCTCCCTAGCACATCCACTAACTAACCAGGCCACGGCAACGCCTACTCCCTCGACATCGACAGTGCCTGGAGCAGCATGAGCAAGGTATCCGGCGATGGCGTCCAACTCACCAACGTCACAATCAGAAACTGGAAAGGAACCGAAGCAAACGGCGCCGAGCGCGGCCCCATCAAAGTGAAGTGTGCGGATGGCGCACCCTGCACAGACATCACCATCGAGGATTTCGCCATGTGGACCGAGTCCGGCTCTTACCAGTGGTACAACTGCGAGAGTGCGTATGGCTCCGGCGCGTGTCTGAAGGATGGCGATGAGCATACTCCGTACACGACTACCCAGACTGTCAAGTCTGCTCCTTCTGGATACTCCGCTGCCACTATGGCTTCTGATTTGGCGACGGCGTTTGGTACAGCGTCGTCGATTCCTATCCCTACTATCCCGACTTCTTTCTACCCCGGTGCGACCCCTGTTAGCGCGCTGGCTGGTGCTCAGGCTACTTCGTCTTAGGCTGGATTGGGATTTGAGCTGCTTGTGTATGATGTAGTATGCTTGAGATTAGGTCTTAGATTTTCTGATCAGCTGCTATATAGAAATTTACGCCGGTAGACCACCTTAAACCGTCTCTACATTAGAGAGCAGGAGTATTCAGGGTGCTCAATTTGTTCTGGCAGGATCTTGCATGATGTAACGTGAAAAGGGTTGGACCGCGTATTGGAGACAGGACAAGCCTCGTACTGTGGAGTCCTTCCCGACGACAGCCAAGAAGCGGCCTAAGGGGCGGGTAGAGAGGCTTGTTTTGCAGTTCATTCTCGTGTTGCGCATGCTAAATTGAAGGAGCTCCCCTTCCTCTTCGATATCCCCGGCATCACTCTCACGGTGTGTGCGTTGGTATGCCTGATCTTGATACCGGAGAACGGCGGTGTCACCAACGCCTGGAACAGCAGTTACTGTATTGGACTTCTTATTGGGTTTATCCTGATCGTTATTTTGCTCATCGCGCTAGAATGGAAGCACGGCGAAGGGGCCATGATTGTTCCTCGGATCATCAAGCGCAACTTGACAGCACAAGGCTGGATTCGCCCGTATTTATAACCTTCCCATTTACTTCCAGGCAGCGCAAGGCCAGTCACCATCAGAGTCGGGGATTCGAACACTGCCTACAGTGTTGACAACCGCCCCGTCTGGTGATTTTTCGGAACCAACACACCTTCCAAAACAGCCATATTCAGTTGTGCCTGTGGCTCACGCAAGAACCATTGCTTCCGCAGATGAGAGTCATCAAGATGGCAAAAAGGTGCCCCGTGCACAGGGGGAGACTATATGGATTGAACCGCAGTGATTACCAATCCATAATGTATAATTAGTTACGGAAAAGTTCGATTCCCTAGATTCAGACAAAATTGTGAGAGGATGACTAGGGACTGATAGAAGATCTGGGTGTACGACAATGTATGGTATGAGTGGCGGGTATATCATTTTATTATGTAATCATATAGGTTCCAGCAAGTTAGCCTCGAATTTTGCCACCGCCCAGTTCTCAAGTATCAGTTTCCCCAAGTCCTCTCCTCCCTACTAAGCTTCTCCATTCGTTGCAAACCAAGATACCATCGCGATGTCCTCACGCGACCATAGTGATGGCGGGAGACTGCTGTCCAAACCGATTTCTCTATCTTCATCCGGTTCAAGTGGCCCCCCGAAAAAGACCGGGTTCAACATTCAATCCTCAAATCGCGGCCGTTCTACAAATTCCCCAGCAAACGGCCTGTCACTGCCTCGGCGACCTCACCAGCTCGGTTACTCCGATGACTCTGACGAAGATGAAGCCCCTCCGGTCCATGAGGAAATCTTAGGATTCGACACCCACACAGGTGTCGCCATTGCCGCGGACGGACAGGCTGTCACAGACGCAAACAAGCAACTGATAATTCCCGTCACGAGCAGGAACAACTGGCGCGACCGGGCAGGTGTAAACGTGAAGAAGAGCAAGAAGAACCTGCTTCCTAGCGAAGTGCAGGCTATGCAGGAAGCGCAAAAGAACGGACGAGCACCTCCCGGAGAGCCCACAGTAGAGACAGATACGCCCAGCATGGCGTACGGGTTGAGCTTTGCGCAACAGTCTGCAGAAAAGGCAGACGGGGGCGCAGCAGTGGCCGAAGACCAGGCCATGTCTGATGCGAAACCTATCGAGACTAAGCCCCTCACGGAGGACGAGATTGCGATGCAGGCACTGATTCGGGAAACAACGGGTGACACGGAACGGAGGTCAGACCTTGTGATTGAGTCTGCTACAAAGGAGGAAGAAGAAGTCCAATACAGTGAACTCGGATCTTTCCGAACAGATGTGGCATCCCGGCCTGAGCCTGCTACTTTAGACGCCTACAATGCCATTCCCGTTGAGGAATTCGGCGCGGCGCTGCTACGAGGAATGGGCTGGAAGGATGGTCAACCTGTCGGACGAGGCAACTACAGCAGTGCCACAGCTGCAGAGAAGGCAAAAAACCCTCGTGTCCCAGAACGACGACCTGGGTTCCTCGGTATTGGTGCAAAGGATGCATCCGGCGGCAAGGGTGCTGAGACAGAGCTTGGAGCTTGGGGGAAAGCTGCTATGCGCAAGGCGTCGAGGAAACAGGGGGAGGAAAACGACAAGGCTGAGGGTGTGTACATGCCTATCACGATGCGGAATAAGAACACCGGCGAGCAACTCACTGAAGAGGAACTTGCTGCTCTACAAAAAGAGGCCAGGTCCAAACCTGCCAAGGAAGACGATTGGCGCGAGCGACGGGATCGCAACCTTGAGAAGAGCGGTCGGGACAAGGATCGAGACCGGGAATACCGCAAACGCGACCACGACGATGAGGAGGACCGTTCTCGTTGGAAGACTGGATCCTCGCGACGTGACCGTGACCGCAGCCGGTCTAGTGGCCGCCACTCTTCTAGCCGTTCCTCTCGATATGATGACGATAAAAGCAGACGGGACGACCGTTCCTATCGGGATCGGGATCGGGATCGGGATCGTCGTCACCGTGATGACGATAAGGACGACCGAAGGAGAGATGGAGATCGAGAGCGGGATAGAGACCGCAGCCATCGATCTCGAGATGAGAGATACAGCAGCTCGCGACACTCGTCTCACTCATCTCGAAATGACCGAGACCGAGACCGTGATCGCGACTCTCGTCGGCGATGATTAGAGGCTAGATGTTTCGGCTAGGGCATTGGAGCGTTTGTACAGGACCAATTCCTTTTCTAGTTATTTTTACCATGAGAGTCAACCAAAAAGAGATACCCTGTAATAATATGGCTTTGGCGAAAGAACACTTTCCATGATACACTGTTCAATTCTATAAAGAGATGGCTTTTATCCTTCCCACCCATGGTACTCCAAGAACGAAAGCGCCGAATTCAATGTACAAACAAGGCAAAAAGACTAAAGCCAGACTATGCTTCCAACATAATAACGTCCTTCTCATGCTCTTCCTCGTCACTGACATCGCCCACAGTCAAATCACGTAGCGCACCGAGTCCAACCCCACCATCCATCTCACCAAGAACCCACTCAACAAGGTAGCTGTCATCGACCAGCTCCTCAACTCGCTTGTAGTGTCTCTCAGTGTACGCAGCTAGTGCCTGCATGATATCCTTCAGACCAGCCGCAGCACGACCATCCTTTCCGCGGACGGACTGAGTCGCAAGCTCCACGAAAGTAGACGCAGGGTAAGAGCGGAACAGAGCATACAGGATGCGCTGTGAGATGCGCGAGGTGCGCGCATTGGTGTTCCAGTCCCGGAGACGGAGCAGGAGCGTGCGCAGATTGGCAGGGTCCAAGTTCTGCAGGACTTCGTCGATGGACGGGTTTCCGGACAGACTGGTTGCAGCACGCTCGCGGTCCTCGGCGGAGAGGGTTGGATCATCTGCGGCGTTGATGGCGGAGGTGAAGAGCGAGAGCAGTCTACCCGGGTGGTTGAGCTGCAGGGCCAGAGTGATGGCTTCACGGTAGGCACCGGCGCGGATGTAGTTTTGCAGCTCTTGGTCCTGTTCGACGCGAGCAGAGCTGGCGTTGACGGCGGCTGTGTAGGTGGATGATGTAGTATCAGTCCAGAAGGTCACGGTTGCGTCGGCTGAACCAGAGGCAATGGCGTAGGGAGTGGTGTTGAGCTTGGAGGAGGTTGGCTTCACGTCTGCGCGTGAGCCAGATGGGGTTGGGCTGGCTAGTGCCCAGACTCGGTCGATGTGGTTGTCCAGGGTGGTTTCCAGCTCGCCTGTGTAGGGGGACCAGATCTTGACCAGACCGTCTGCGGCGGCGGAGGCGATAAGGGGACGGTCCTGGATGGCGTTTTTGCGTGCTGTTGCGGCCTCTTCGTCATCCTCATCATCGTCAATTTGGTTGTTCGAGACCTGCGGAGGTGGGAGCCAGAGGACTTTGAGAACACTGTTGGTGTGGCCCTCGAAAGTCAAGAGACAGCTGTAGTCAGACAGACTCCACAGTTTGACGGTCTTGTCACCAGAGCCTGTGACTGCTAGGCCACGGCTCGTGCTGGTACGTGAATCTGAGTTGATAATCGGAGTGCCTTGCGGGGCAAATCGCACCGACCACACACCTCGCTTGTGGCCACGGAGGACACCTACCGACGAGCCTTCGTCGGCAGCCCAGATCTTCACGGTGCGATCTTGTGATGCTGAGGCGAACAGTTCAGATGTAGAATCGATATCAATGGCATTGATATCCTTTTCGTGAGCCTTGCGAGTATATATGGCCTTAGGATAGTGTGGTTTTTCTCCTGTCAGGGGGGCTAACTTGCTTGTATCCCATCGCTTGATTGTGCGATCTTGAGAGCCAGTAATTAAGAATGCTGGCGGGTGGTTCAAGGGGTCGTTATATGCGGCACTGCCAACAGGAGGTGGCACGCGTGGAAGGGCGATTGCTCCTAACGACTCGGCGTGACCAGTGAAAATAGCAAAACAAGTATAAGAGGATGTCTTCGGGTCAATACGCCAAAGACGGGCCGTATTGTCTTTAGCGCCAGTGGCTAGCCAGTGCCCTGACCAATCCGCATCAATGCAAATGATAATATCGTCGTGGCCTTCCAGGTGTGTGACATCAGCACCGAAGTACTCTTCTCCCTGATTCGAGGGTCGGTCTTCTGAGGGAGCAACCGAAACTACACGAATGCTCTCGGTGTTTGTGGCCAAAGCAAGCATCGATCGATCTGGTCCAATGTAAGCCAGGTCAATGATCTCGTCGTCATTGCCGGAAATGCGGCGGATAATCGTCAAAGGCTCCAAAGTTGACCCCGGCTTATAATCAGACAGCGAGTCGAGCGAGTGGAGGCGGAGAGTCTGATCTGCATGGACGGTAAGGACAAAAGGCAAACCAGGCGAATACTGGATAGCCACGACGCTTTCGAACTCCTCTCCAGCCTCTTGTTCCTCTGTGATCTCGCTTCCGCGATTGCAGTCCCAAACTCGCAGTTTGCCATTTTCTCCACCGATAACGCACAGCCCGCTATCCGCAATGAAAGCGGCGGCTTCCACGCTCTCCAAAACAGGAATGATTCTGCGAGTCTTCCAAGTACGCGCATCCCAGACGATCACAGTCTTGTCTCGACTGGCCGAGATCAATGCGTTCTCTGACGGAGAAAAGGACAAACTGCGGACAAGTGATACATGTGACTCGAGCGACGCAATGGGCTTTCTCTTGTGTAGATCCCATACACGCATTTTTCCATCTTCACTGCCAGATGCTAGGCGGAATCCTGCAGTGGAACCTGTACGTGTGGAGCCCTCCATTTCTTCATCATCGTCCCCTATAGCCTGTTGCTTAGACTTGTTCTTCTTGGATGACTTGGCATCGCTGTCGGCGGTAGGGACCTCGAAAAAGCAAAGCGCAGAGATCACACCACCATGGCCATGGAAAGTGTGAGTGACAAAACCGCCTCTGATGTCCCAGACCTTGATTGAGCCATCAGCACCTCCAGTGGCAAGCAGTGTGCCAGTAGGGTCAACAGCAATGGTCACAACGGGGGCTGTGTGAGGCTTGAGGGTTCGGAGAAGTTTTGCTTCGATGGTCTGGGAGGTCTCGTCGAAAGTTGAGAGGCCGTAAATTCGCATGGACATCGAGCGCGAGCAGACAATGGCGTGTGAGGCGGAAGGCGTGACTAGGCAAATTGTCAGTGTTTTACTCTTATTCCTAGGGCATACAATACTCACTGGCTAAACCTGTGACAATTTCTCCATCCTGTAGCGTTTATTTGGTTAGCGCTTTGCAATTGACGAATATGCCAAAGGCGATAAAACATACCCCCTCCAGACTAATAAGCTGGTTACCAGTCTCCAAATCGACGATCAAGGCATCCTCGCCCACGCAGCTCAGCAAGATGCGCCCACTGGCATCCAGCGCCGTGCTACCGCCGGTGTAAATGGGGCGGAGCGTGCGGGACGCCTCGAAAGTGGTTTTGACGATAGCTTTCGACATGACTCTATAATATCTCGGCGTAAAATTTTAGAAGTTAGCACGCCATTGGCCAGTCGAAGAGCCGTAGAGATTGAACGATCGCAAAAAATGGCAGCTCGAGCGGGCAACTTTTTTTGATGTTTGCATTGTTTGCTTGGTGATAAGATATGGCTCGCCAAGTGTAGTCGCATTAACCACATTTGTACCTTCTTGAACTACCTTCGTCTGATTATAACTAGCTCATCACTTGTTACTTTCGAGTACACAGGCTCTGGCAGCGTTCGTACTAATTATGCACTAGAAGGCGATGTGGCTACACTAATAGCCCAGTGACCTCGCACGATATGGGTCGACAGGCCTATTTGAACCGGCTCGCTTTGGTAAGCTCCATCTTTTTACACGCGAACTTCTCCTATATTTGCTTTGCAGTTGGCATAACTTGGGTCTATGGAATGTGACAGTGGATTATGCTTTATCTTGAGAAGTCTAAAGTCTTTTGAAACAGAACCAGTCACTACCACCTGGCCCTATCCCATTGCTTCTACCCTGATATACAAACCCATCCCGAATGCATCTTGCCAGGCATGCTTAATTGAGCGTAGTTATAAACCGAATAAGATATCATATTAACTGATTTTAAGGGCCGGTCCCCCTACGAAGCTCCCGACAACGCGGCGGTTGACCCCTCCACTCCAGTCCGACGAATCTCCAACGTCCATGCGGACGATTACATGCAGCAATATGATACTCGAGGGCACCCTGTTAATCCTGAGTCCAGAACCCTCGGGAAAGAACTCCGGAGAGCAAAGAATGACATCCTCTCAACAATGGGGATTGTCGTCAGTGGAGAAGACCGAAACTCTACTATCCCCAATGAACAGCAAAAGATCAACCAGATTGCGAGTGAGAATGACTTCGGACTGGTAATAACAACTCTCGATCAATTGTTCATCTTTTTCGGCACTTGGTGGACCTCTTCAGTCACTGGTCGAGTACAGGTAAATGCAATACCGATTACTCTAGATGTTGACATCTGGATTGAGCTGACATTCCAAACTTGGCGTTCAGACTTACCGGCATTATGCCAATTCCGCATTACTCGGTGTCGTGCAGTCTGAGAGAGACGCCGCGGGGATTCTTGGCTTCTATTTTTCGGGAATTCCTGCCTGGGCAATGTCTAGTGCGTTGGCTATAGCTCGTGAAACCCCGCTGAAACGGGTGTTTGTCTCTTTCCGAGACTACGTTCAGTCTTTGACCGGCGACTCGCTCGGTGTTCGTTCTCTTTTCGGACTTCTATACACAGGGTGAGTATATCTCATCCGTTCAAATAGGCAGGATAACTAATTATGAATAAAGGGCGAGAAATGCTGTGCTCATGTTGTCTATGGAGTTCTACATGTACTCCACACTCCAATCTCTTTCCCTTGTTTCTCCATATGGAATCCCCGGCGCTCAACTTTTGCTTCCCTTTGGCAGAGAATCTTTGCTACAGCTACCATCCTTGCCCGCTGATTTCTCCCCTCACTCCCTGGGGAATACGCTCGTGCAATTGTTAATATCTCCTGGCGTTTTAGTCTTCCTCTATGGGTACTACTTGCGGCCGGAGCTTGAAGAGCGTATCTATCGGTTGATCAGACGACACCTTCCAAAACCAGCTCTTCCTGACGAACTCTCAGTCCGCGTTGCCTTTGAAGAGAACCTGATAGAGTGGGTGGTGCCCACCCTGGGCCGCAGGTCAGACGAAGAATTATACCGCAGCTCACTCCCACTATTCGAAGATATCAAGTTCGAACTGGCCACTTTTCGCAGATGGGTATCATCCCTTTTTGGACTAAGATCGAATCAATTGTCAGAGAAGCAAGCCCTCCTGTCCTTTAGTCGCGAGAGGAATCAAAATCTACGCAATGAGATTGCGTTATTGCGAAATGAACTCGATGGATTCCAACACACCCCTGAGGGTGAAGAAGGACCAAATGATCATGTGTCTAGGCCACCGGGAATCACTCCTGATGCCCAGGTTTCCGCTCTTGCATCGCGAGCACGACCACGCCCAGGGGAAGCAAGTCGACCCACACATTTGACTCAGGCAGAATCAGTTATTGGGCTGAATCAGGTTCTTACAAACGAAAATCGTATGTCTCAATCGCCTGGGGAAATGAGCAATGACTATTTCTCCGAGATAGCTACTGCTGGACGAACAAGTCGTCTCTCAGCCACTTCAACACCGCAGGAGCAAACAGCCCCTTTGCAAAACGGTAATGATGTTGCTACGGACCGACAGAGCTCGCGATCTAATACTCTCTTTTCTCGGTCATCATCACCAGAAACCTTACCTCCTACGTCGCCTCGCGTAAGAGCATCCTTGATTCACCAGAGCCCCGACGTTATCACGATGCAGCTTGAGTTGATGGGTAATCGAAACCGTCACCCGCAAATCCAACCTCCAAATCCTGCCCAGTTGAATGCACTAGCGCGCAACAATGTGTCAGGACCAAATACAAATCCGGACACCATGGACAGACGATCCATAGCCGAGTTCCTCGAAGCTCTGATCCTAAGCCAGGCCCAGCGCCAGGCCCAGCAGACCCTAGCAGCTGCAGATACGGACGGCCTCTCAAGTATCACGGCCGGGCCATCCAACGCTACCCCGCAAGACTTGGGTGCCCCTGAATTAGACCCTCAAATTCCGGCCCCAGAAACCCAAGCCACCGACGCTCCAACTTTAGAGTCCATTGAGGAAGCTCTAGGGTCCATCATTCCAAACATTCTCCCAGATGGCGTGGAAGAACCAAACGACGAAGAGCCCTCCAATGAAAACCCTGTCGCAGACGCAGATCATAATGAAGACACTCAATCTGATACTCTCGACCAGTCAATTCTACCCTCTTCCCTGATTCCTGGACAAGTGGCAAACACATTGTCTCAGGTCCACCGCGTCACCCTTCTTTCGGCATACCCAGTGGACTCTCTCGCATCTCACCTCGCCGCTTCAATTAGCTGCATCATACTCGCGCCGCTTGAAGCACTCTACCTTCGCTCATTGACCCGATCCTGGATTATCTCCCACCCTTCCTCCGTTACGCGTCTCTCAGATATCCACCCCTTGGGTCTTTGGTTTGGCGGAAGAACTTGGCCAGATATATGGGCCTATTCCTATCGACTCGTGCTCATGAGAGGAATGCAAGTTGCGATGAGAGCGGGGATTTGGGGGTTCCTGGTGGGCTCAACGATGAGGATAGGGAGAAACTTCTGTGGTTGGGGAACACTGTGATGAATACTTGTTTCTTTTAGCCAGCTCAATACCTAGGTCACTCCACCATACGTCCTCTATTTCCTCTGTAGTCCCAGTGGTTCAACAGGGGGAGTAAGTCGATATGCAATTCGGAAAGCATCGAGTGTGCTCTCTTACAGGGCCCTTTCCAAACAATAATCAGAATCAAAACTACCCCAATACCTCCAAAAGTCGCCTCTCTTCTGTCTTCCACACTCCTTGAAGTTTGATAACCGGGTGGTTGATTTCACCGGGTGAAAAGTCGGCGGGGTCTGAACCTCCATCCCCTTCAAACCGTAGCGCCTTAACCACTCGGCCACGCTTTTACAGTCTCATATCACTCAAACATCTTGGTGAGTTTGGATTACAATCTATATGACTACACCGTGATAGGTACAAATGTACGTTGGCAGTCGTTTCCCCTTTCGGGATCTCACTAGTACATAGTCAGGCTGCAAAACATAGCGGGTGTTACCTTTCTATATCTTTCCTCTTCTAATGCAGCATTTACGCTTGTTTTACCGTATGGTGGGAGATATCGAACAAACAAAAGCGTAATTTCGTCATTATTTGATGGTACACTGCATTTTCTCTCCAAAGTAAAAACGTACAAGACAATAGTTAGTTGGAGCCTAATCTAACTAACTCCTCAGATTTAACCATCTCAGATCATGCACGTCCCTTTCCTTTGTTCCCTGGCACCTTCCGCCGCTCCCAGACCATAAGATACCCCTCACGAGTGAACAGCGTCTCGCTTTCCGCACGCTTGACAAACAAATCCTGAATCTCAAGCCACTCTGGGCCCTGTTGCTGCTTCTCTGTGGAGCCGCCGTTTTTGGCGCGAGTGTTCTCGGCCTCCATGGCTTTATCATGAAGTTGAACAAGCCATGACACCTTCTCGCTGCCACCACCGGCCCCGCTGGAGGAACCGCCAGCTCCTGACGCAGCGTTAACGCCCTTATCCACGGCGTCATCCATTGCACCGGGTGCGGCTATGGCAGGGTCGAGGATGATGTTTGCAACAAGATCATAGAGGATTGGCTCTCCGGGTGAGCAAATATTGGGATTTGGCTCGACATAGGGGGACATATCCAAGTTGTGCGGAGAGGGGAAGGTGACGATGGTTGGGTTTCGCTCAGAGACAAAGCGGTTCTTGCTGAAGCGCTTGATGTGGAAGAAAAGGTAAGGAGGAAGAGGGTGGAGCAGGCGGTGTCGGACACGGTGAGCCAGTTTCTCTGATGCCGTGTAGCCATTGTATTTGTTCAAGAGAGTAGTCAAGGGAACCTGTGGGATACTCGACTCCCGATTGGCAGATTGGAAGAGGGGTGTGGGGGGTAGATCCAGTGTGAGGATAAGGAAAGGAGTAACCTGGCTATTGATTGTGCCGGACTCAGTAAATACCAAACGGGCATTTTGGGTGTCAGAGTGAGCGGTGATAGCTTGGCTTTCAATCCGTACGCGGCCCTGGAACGCTGCATGAACAACACTTGTGGGGGTTGGCGAAGGCTTCTTTGACCCTCCTAAGGCGAGGTGCAGACAGTTTAGGAACCAAGACAGGAAGTCCACAGGATCTGCCTGGTTTGTGAGAGTAAAACGTTTCGAGGATCGTACAGCAATCTCCTGTAGTAATTCGTGTGGAGACACATGTGACCGGAACGCCTTAGGGTTCCATAGCTTGCGCACCAGCGTACTGAAACGAAGAATTATCTCTGGCGTGCCTGGCGTAGGGAAATCGTGGAGGAGGAAGAAATTGCGAATAGGCAAAACATGTGCCAGTAGTTGAGCTACAACATTGACGTAGTCGTTGGCTTTGATATTGTTCATGCCCACAAACCCTGAAAAGAAAAACAATTAGCCAAAAATAAACCTTTCAATCGTATCCTGGTACAGGCTCTCACCTGGTCTGTACCTCGACCCAGAAAGGTCCCAGGCATCATGCACTTCCTTATCGAGCTTGACCACTTGGTTCTTTGTGTAGTGTGGATCAACCACGTATTTGATGTCCTCCAAACTCTTGTTCTTGACCTCATATCCTTCAGGCAAAACATAGACCTTCTTCGTACCAATGTTGATGAAAACGTGGTGTCCAACTTCAAGAGCGTGAAAATAGGCATGCGATTTCGGACCACGGCCCTGGAAGTATTTGCCGCAGACAAGACATGCGTACACATTGATATTTGAAAGACTGATTGAGCACAGCTTCTCGAAATCGAAATCCAGGATTTCCCGGTTGATCGTGTCGAGGTACAGGTCGCCGTAGCCTTCCATGGGAGCGATTTGCCGCTTTGGAGCGCTGAGTGCAGGTGCATCTTCGTCAATATCCGAGGATCCAAGGGGATCTTTTTCACCCTCCTCGAGCTCCTCTCCTTCTATTTCAGCTGCTCCTTGGATATCCACACCATTGCGATCCTGTCTCGGTTCTTCGCCGCTCGCTGCGCCGTTGAGAGAATCGTAATCATTTTCGTCCTCGACACGCGCCTTTTTCGATACAGGTGATCCAGAGAAGTCATGCTCCAAGGGAAGCTCTGCTGGTCTTTTGGACATTGTGAGGTGGTTTGGTTTGAAAGGTTGGAGTTCTTGACTTTCCCAGAGCTCGGCATGCGACTTCATGGTCACCAAGTTGCAAACAAGTCAAACAAGTCAAACTTCTATGGTCAGGCCAATGTCAACGGAGTACGTTCTATGCAAAATGGTGTTCATTCTGAGCAGTGAGTTTTATAGGGCTGTATTTTCTTATTATTTATTCAAGATTATCTAGCAATCTACTCTTTACTTGGTTTCCAAGGTTGCTACAGCCTAAATCATGCCGACCGTTCGATTATCTCGGAATCAAAAGAAAAAACGTCATAAGATGTGATACAACAAACGCCGTGGTATGTCGACCTTCAAGCACTCCGGACCACCTTATCGTTATCCACAGCGATCTCTTGCACACCATCTTTCGTCACCACCTTCACCAACATCTGCGAATAATTGTGTCAGCATAATGGTAGTTGAGGATGGCTTTCTAAAGAACTTACCCCCTTGTAGTCAATTGGTAGTCTGCGCTTCAGCTCATCTGTGCACAGTGTGAGGAGCGCAAGGCCCTCCTCGAGGGTGCAGTCGGGATGGTGGTGTTTGTCAAGGATGGAGAGGCAGTAGTATCTAGAAGAGTCAGCATTAGTTATCTCTCGCCTGGACTTTCGTATCGTCCATCATCATGGGCCATGAAACATACTGGGCATAGCCGTGAGCAGCATATGGGAGGGGCGCCAGCGACGCTAGATAATCAACCCAGTAGAGATGAGGCTTCTCAGTGACCGGATCTATACCACCTAGCAGCAGGTTTACTGTGTAGGGACTCCGTGACCGCAGGCTGCGTGCCAATTCTCCCCGGACGAAATTGGCAACGGCGGAGGGGCTGAGCTCGGTGTCGTTACGCATGCTGTAGAGTGCAGCGTTGGCTTGGATGTATTCGGCAAATTGAACTAACAGAGGTACCTTATTAGCAACTTGTTTGTCTCCTCGGAGAAGCTACATACCGGTATCTCCCGACTCGCCGGAGAAGGCCATCAATGTGTGTTTGTTCAACTGTCGTGTCTTATCATCTTCAGCCTTGAGGACTGTCGGGCCTCTCATTGCGGCCTTGGATGCAGCAAGAATGACGAAGTCCTTGCCGGCGATACCCAAAAGAACCTCCCTAGCAACTGTTAGTGACCATTTGTAGAAACCAGATTACCACGAACTTACATGTTTGCGGTATGAGAGATAAATAAACAAAAATAACAAGCAAGTAGATGATCAGAGAAGACGAAGGGGAGTAGTGGTTAAGTGAGGAGGACCGCGCGGTGAGCTTGACGCCTGGAGCTCCCGTGAGGTCAGCTACCTGCTGAGTCAGCCGCCGCTTAGCGCTTTTTTTTTCTGCCAAAAAAAAGTTGAAGTTTTGATCTCCGCAGCCCGAGTCTTTCGAAAACGCCATATTCGATTTCTTTATACAGAGATCAAGAACTGACAGGCTTGACAAAACGTCGCCATGTCGTCTTTTTTCACTGTACCCAATTCTCAGCGCAAGAGGAAGAGAGACGACCGCGCCGGAGCCCCAGGATCGAAAAAGCGAGGCGTAGATGCCAAAACCGACGGTGCTCGACGTACCAGAGAGAGAGAAGAATCAATCTCAGGCAGTGACTTGGATGAAGATGCCGCAATCGATACCGCAGAGTCAGGCGACGAAAGTGGATCGGACTCCGAAGATGGCGAAACCGCGGCGGATCGAAGATTGAAACTCGCTGAACGCTACCTGGGGAACATCCAAGAAGAAGTTGACGAGGCTGGATTTGATGCCGCAGATATTGATCGGGACTTGATTGCGGAGCGATTGAAGAAGGACGTCGATGAATTCAAAGGACGGACGTTCCGTCAAATCGCTGCGAAACTATCCGTTCCCACGGCGCCCCATTCCTTTTTCCGCTCTGATACCCAGTCGAGCACTGCCATTGCAGTCCACCCGCCATTTGTCTACATTGTTTCGAAGGATAAGACTTTGACTAAGTGGGAATTGGCTACACCCAGTGTACCGGGCTCTACAGAATCGAACGGCGATAATGATACTTCCAAGCGGCCCCCGCGTCCCCAGCGCAAGAAGCCCAAGCGTGTGAAGTACGCTCGTGGTATGCGCAAAGTTGGCGAATCAGGGGAAGATCAAGGACATACAGGAAGCATCATATCTGTTGCTGTCTCACCTTCCGGAAAATTCGTGGCCACCGGTGGAACGGACAATAAGCTTATCATCTGGGACGCTGAGACTTTGACGCCAAGTAAGACATTCTTGCACCACAGAGACTCGGTTTGCAGCCTGTCCTTTGCACGCCATATCTCAACAATGAGTTCTGGAGAGCAGTTGTTCTCTGGCTCGTACGACCGCACAATTAAGACATGGTCCATCAGCGGAGCAGGCCACGCATATGTCGAAACACTCTTCGGCCACCAGGATCATGTCACCGGAGTCACTGCCATGACCATTGACGAATGTGTCAGTGTTGGTGCTCGGGATCGCACCGCCCGCTTGTGGAAGGTTGTCGATGAAACACAGCTCGTGTTCCGTGGTGGCGCCTCCAGAAATGCCCCTTACCACGAGAGCAACATTGACTGCATTGCCCCCCTTCCACCCACTCACTTCGTCACTGGTTCAGATTCCGGCTCCCTCTGCCTTTGGTCGGTTCACAAGAAGAAGCCACTCTACACCGTCCGTCTTGCTCACGGCTTGGACCCAATCCCCCTCTGGATGTGTTATCACCCGAGACGGACGAGGCGACTGCCGCCCACAACACGCGCCACATGCGTCCCATGCCTCGTTGGATTACTGCACTCGCTACTCTACCGGGTACCGACGTTGTCCTCAGTGGCAGCTGGGACGGTTTCATCCGCGCATGGCGCGTCTCAGATGATAAAAAGACACTTATCGCCCTGGGTCCCATCGGTGCAGGCTTACCTAGTACCGTGACACCACCAGACACACCCTCGAAGCAACTCAACCAGACTCTTGCTCTTGATGCCACCCCTGCGGCTGAACAAAAAGAGCCAGAGCCTTTGATTAAGGGTGTCATCAACGATATCGCGGTCTTCGAACGACGCCCCGAGTCTGATATGCCAGGTGCTGAATCAAAAAAGTCTGAAACTGAGAACGAACCTCGTGGTTTGTCCATCATCGCCGCTGTCGGCAAGGAGCACCGATTGGCTCGCTGGAAGTGCTTCAACAACAATTTCCATGAAGGTCCCACTTCGGGAGGCCGCAATGGTGCTGTTGTCTTCGAAGTTCCGTTTGCTACTAATGACACCGTGTGAAGGCTGATGTATAAATTTTGTTCATAATCTTCTTGTCTCGATCTTGGTCGTTGACCGAGTAAAATGGGGAGCGTTGCTCGGGGTCAGGTGTATTTGGAGTCACATCTGTGTATTTTACCATTTTTGCATATGTACCGGATTTCTTCGGTGCATTGAAGTATTCAATCATATCCCTATTTCAAACAACACTGTCCCTGAATAGTAAACTTCGTGATTAGGTTAAACGATCAGAAAAGCTGTATAGGTAGGTACCACGCTATCATAACCTTGCTTCCATCCAATCTCCCAAGTCTCGTTATTTCAACAACTAATAGGCAAAAAGTTATACGCTACGTTATGTGGAGATGGTTGCTGGCTGTTTTTCTCGGTTGAATTTGCTTGTGAATAGGGTGTCTACTAGGTGGGTTATGGTAGATGCATTTGTTTACTCCAAATGGACCTGAGAATTGTCATAGGTACATGTAGTTATCAATTCAGTAAGCCAATGCACTCTGCTAATTTGCGCTCGACTGGTTTTGTGGGAGAAGAGAAGAAGCAAGGACTTAGTACATGAGAGCCTGGTAGCTTTTTCATGGATCTAATGACGGATTTCGTAGCCACAGTTTATTGATTGCCAAGAGACTAGGTTCTTCAACTTCACTGGCAAGGGGCGACAAAAGACCAAGACTGAACCGAAGAAGGATAAGTAGGGGTATTCGTAGAGTACGGCTGAGCCGGTAAGAAACAAACATGAAGATATAATCAAGCCGTTGAAGGGATTCGAAGGGAAAAAAAAGAGGACGAGAAAAGGGGAAAAGGTCGTTCTTTTTGATATCAAAGTTAAGACAAAACGCCAACCATATCTACAGTCCTCTTATCATTACCCAAACGCCGCGCTGAAGCCAAAACAAAAAAATTAAGAAGGGCGATAAAAAGCGAAATCAAATACCGTGTCGGCGGTTAGAAGATTGCTAATATGGAGAGAATCTGGCACGTCGCCTCTGTGTAGTTCTTCTCACTGGACCGACAGGCTGATCTTCGTCGGAATCATCGAGGGTGATCGCATTGTGAGCAGTGGTCCCGTTATGGATGGAACGGCGCGCAGTAGATCTAGCGGGCCTAACAGGCGAGGATCCCTCTTCCTCGGACGAGTCAGGGATTTCTTCAGGTGGAGGCCTCGCTGCAAGCCATGAAGCATCGCTGGGGGCTTGGAACCAGGGGGACTGGCGTGGATATTGTAGACTAGCTTGACGAGGCGGTGCAGTTTGGATTGCGTCTTCGTCCGATTCATCCGAGTCTTCCTCGACCATCTCTCTATCGTCCGATTCCCCTGAGACTTCCTGTTCCTCTTCATCAGAAGCCTCGTCGTCAAAGTAAGGTGTGGTGTCCCTGTAATTGAGCCCAAGCGGTATGGGAGGGCGGCCACCCTCAACGTCATCCACAACAGTGCCGGTGGAACGGTCTGATTCCGATTCATACATATCGCCACTTTCGAGATGATTGACTTGAGTTTCAATGAATGAACTCGTGGGCGGATGGTCGTTTTCAGCATCGATGAATGAGTCTGACTCGTCATACTCATTCTCCTCTTCGTCTTCCTCTTCATCTTCCTCTTCTTCGTCGTGTTCACCTCCATGGGTGTTACCCGAAGCGAGATAGTTGCCATGATCCACTGGGACCGGGAGCCCTATTGGGATCATACCAGGTTCATCCATCAAGTTTTCAAGCCGGTCGAAAATATGCCGGCCAGCACCTGAGGGCCAGTTAGGGCGTCCATAAATGGTAGGCCGCCTGTAATACTGAAGCGCAAAGTTGCCCCAAACGCCGTCACGTTCATCGATGTCGTCGAAGTTGTCAGCTCCCTCGGCCTCGGCCTCCTCCTCAACCATACCATCATCGAGAGAGTCTAGATCGGTCTCACTGAAGTCGGCTGATCCACTGTCATCTGTCTCCTCGGAATCCGGCCGGTATCGATAGCCGCATCCCGCGCAACTGTCTCCTTCTAATTCCCACGAGCAGACCGGACAACGAACCACTCCGTCATGCCTGTCAATGATAGGTTTGGGTGGGGGATCTTTGGGCTTGAAAAGACCCCCGAACAAACCTCCCTGAGTTGGATGATTATTGGCTTTGTCCTGGTCTAGTTTTTTTGCTTCGTCCCTTTGGTTCTTCGTATGCTCTGTAGTCGTTTCCCCTTTGTCTAAAAGCTCAGCTCGGCCTGTGAACATCTGAACCACGGCCCGAACCTGTAACACGAGATATATGTTAATAAAACGAATTTAAGGTTGTTTAAAGACTGTTAAAGCTTACCAAATAAGCTGGGGCTGGTTGGGTTTTGACGGGTGCTCGGCAATCCGGACATGTTTGCTTTGATCTTCCACCAGCAAACCATGAGGATAGACACTAAGTGAAGAGTTTTGGTCAGCTAATAGAACTACCAAGATAGCGGAATAGAAGAGACTCACTGAGTAGCAGAAAGTGTGCCCGCAGGCGATAGTAAACGGTTCGTAAAGGGGGCGGACGCATATACCACACTGTATCAAAGTGCGAATATCATCGACATGGCCTTGGAGAGTGTGGACCAGCTGTATAGCGCGCGTCAGTATCTAGTTTTTGGTCACTTTAATCAGATGCGGGAATTGACTTACCCCCGATGCCTCAGCCCCAGAACCACTTATAGCTGCCATTTTGACCTTCTGGGGCTCTTCAAGAGCTGTGTTTTCCACCCTAGGAATGTATCCCATCAACCTGAGTGCGTTTAAGGCGTCTTAGGGCGAATGCGCGAGTGTCGACGGATTGCGGTGGGGGTCCCGGAAAGTAAAAGTTTCGCAAAGTGGCAAGGTGTGATCAACAAGTTTTCGCAGAGACAAACGCTAGGAAGTCGAAGAACGCAGCGAAGACAGCGAAGACGGCGTGACGGTCTGAGATTAAGAGAAAGGTACAAGGAAAAGCAATAATATGATCCAGATTCTTTAAGTGAGAGGGCAGATGTTTTGGTGGCCTCAGGCAAGCAATCACATAATCATGAGGAAGGGGTCTCCAAGGAGCTTCGACCTGGCAACCTCAGACGTGACTTGTCACTTTCTTTTATCGATGGTCCTTCTATGACATCTACCCATCTTCAACATGTCGAGCTTGCTTAAAGGTTATTATTATTATTGTAAAAACTATCCGTATAACAAGTGCAACTATACACCTCTTACAGGTAAGGGACTTTTGTATGTGAATGAAGCCTAGGGAGATCTTACAAAACAAAGGCGTTACCTGGTTTTTGGCTTCACTTTCCTTTCATTCCTAAACTGATACCAGGTGAGCCAATCACTTATTTTTATCTTCAATAATATAGCCGATCAAGACATATTCGACCTCATTTACAACTAGATCTTGCATCGACTAGTTCACTTACATATCGTACATCATGCATCAGGACATTTAAAAAGACCCTATGCAACACAACTCAAGAGATTTTAGACCTCTCGAATGAACTTGGGGACTTTTATGTCTCTGGCATCTGATCAAATTGGATGAATAGTAATCTCATAACACCCTTCGAGCGACTGCCTACTCTGCCTATCTCTCTTGATAACTTCTTTAGTGAGAAAAACAAACATATAACTTCAATTTCTTATGCAAGGGAGGGGAAAACGCCAAATCACGACCCGAACCCATCCCTCACCTCAAAGAAAAAGATCCGCAAAGAATGGAAAACTAGAATTAAACGGTTCAAAACCATGGATCATCTCATCATGAGCTCTCCCGAGCGAAGGTGGCTGTCATCGAACACGCCTTTCTGGACCCTGTCATCTTCAATAACTCAATCTCCTTGTCCATATGCCCCAGGAAATCCATCTGTTTGCGGATGAACATGAGACTAGCCGTGTCGAATTGGCGCCTTGCTCTTTTCTGGTCCCGCATGAACCGATTGGCGTCATGGAACTGGTCCTGAAGCATCTCGAACCGATACTCCGCGAATTGATGATACAAGTCACCAAGTAGTTATTGAGACGGGCTGGACCGTCGTGAGAACACTATCATCCTTGATGGACGACGACTGAGTACGGAAATATGTTACCATTGTGATCCGCTCTGTCATCCCCAGTGCCCGGCTATTTTGAAGAGTGTGTATATACTTACTTTTTACTTTCATATCCAATCAAATATGTATATGTTGTAAGTAGGTAGTTAACTACTGCAGTGCTCATGAATATATATCCATGGATAGATAGACTAGAAGGCCACACACACTCTAAGCTTTAGGCTAGTTCAGTTGGTCCGAGAATCAGACATAACTAAGTGCTTTACCTATGTAGATGCTTCTAGAATAATATGAAACCCAATACTCTAACTAATACAGTAACTAACTAAGTAGATAACATGTTAGTTATGCGGATCTCGGGACCTTGGGGTACATTGGCCGATCTCCGCGCCAAGACTACGGATCCCCAATTCTTCCTGCGTCCAACGCTAACTTCTACTCCAATCAACCTCCACCTCCAATCTGATCTTCGAGCAACTCTTTCGCATTGTATTTTATTTCGATAAATTCGATAAATTCGATTGCCTCAATTATATCTCACAAACTTAGGAGACATACGAATTCAGTGCACCCATGGCGGCCGAGTCAACCCAAGGAGACACTCACGACAAAGCGTGGGAGAAAGCGGAGAAGAAGTTCTCACAGTATGTTTCAATGTTTCTTCCTTCTACCCTTTTCTATGTTTGTTCATTCTCAAAACGCTATATGACGTCTCTGAAGTCATCAGTGATCGCGGAGGATGTGCTCCGCGGGATCATCTTTACATGGATTGGACTATGGGGTCTTGAGAGCCACGCGGTAGCAACACAGACTAGCCCGATGATCGCATATTCATTGGGCTGAATACGTGTGGCGTTTATCTATACTGATAGCTAACTTGCAATTTTAGTAAACATGCGAGCGAGTACTACGACCCATGCCAAGACTTCGCGGATCGGAGTCTTAAGTGTATGAAACGGAATGCCTTCGAGCGCGAAATGTGCCATGATTATTTCCAGTATGTCAGAAATTCTCATATCAACAATTTGACTTGCTCTTCTTGCGACGTACCTGGCGTTTTATCTATTTCTGGCCAGCTCGTACAATATTGTCGTGATTATCATAACTGAGCTTTCTCACTGACTGATGACATTGCCTAGAGCTTATCGTGATTGCAAAAAGAACTGGGTAAGTTTGATACATGACTCCGCCGTAAACGCCTCAATCACCGGTCTCGTGCAGGTTTTGCATTCTATCCGCGAGATCTCTTGACTTTGATTCGATACGTGTCGGGGTATATTCGGTCGCTAACAAGGCACAGCTCACCCAGAAGAAAGTTTCTTTGACGCCTCAGACCAAATGAGACATTTCCACCATCCCGGACTATTGTTACCAAAAATATCGAAAACTTTTCTGGCTGGCAAGATCCCTGGAATCCCCCAAGCAGTTGTTGCATGTTCTCTTTCATCAATCCAATAATCAGAAGCCTCCCAAACCCAAACTGCTATGTGAACTGCTGTCGGGCATTGCGATCTTGCAAGGCTGGTAGAAAATGCCCATCTTTATGTCTGGCGCCGACCTGCGAGATAAGCGGCTTTATCTTTCTGGAGTTGTTTTCCTGAGACCTGACTTCTATTGGCGTATCGCACTATCTGTTAAGTTAATTTAAGCCTGTACAACATATATTAACATTCTCATAACCTTGGAGTCTTATCTATCCTGTCCAGATGTAGAGCTTCTGGTCTATGACTCATACCCAGTCAAATACAACCCTTGGGAAGCATATGAAAAATAATTGAATAGAAACTATTACTAGTTACATATATGTGAGAATCTTCAAGGTGTAGCCCTCGGAGGCCTCCTAGCAACCATGGATGCCTCAAGATTTTGATATGGCTTATTCATTGGTTTCAAGTGTGACTGCTTACGCCAATTAATGAATATGGGTTAGACTGTACACTAAGGTAATTTAACTGGCCTTTTCAATGTGTCATTCATGTCATTTCTATTTTGAAACCATGGACATCAATGTACATCAATGGTACATAGTTAAGTAGTTAGTTGGTTAGTTAAAATTCTCATAGACAGACAGTGGTTAAACTGATAAATTGTCTATTGGGTTAAGAGAGAAAGAGAAGCAGAAGAGCTATCTACCTGGGGAACAAACAATGGAGTTCACGTGACCTCGCAACAACTTCAGTTGGTTTCTTGCCGGCAGTATGGTGCGGGGACTGATTGACCGCCTACCTTTTGATCTCCTTCCCCGCCAAATAAAAAAGTGACCGGCGGCGATCACTCAAATCGAACTCAGATCTTTGACTTTTTTTAGCGCATGCTGTGCTTTGCACAGTGACCATATTATTCTGCGAAAGAATCCAATTGAACAGTTTTCCCGCAAATTGAATACCACCTCCACCATGAGCTCCAGCAATGACGCGGTGTTTCTGCGTCGCAACAACCAAATCCAAGATGCCATTGACTCGCAGAACATGAAACAGGCCTTACAGTTGATTGAGAAGCGTATGAAGAAAGGCGAGAATACGCAGTTTCTGAAGGCGAGTGATCCTCATTATCGTTTATTTCGAATTTACCCGCGGCGACGCTGTCAGTTGTACGGGACCAGCTAACACGTGAGATCGCGAGCAAACAGGCCTGGAAAGCGAATATCCTCTTCAACCATGCCGATGAAACTCACAAGAAGAAAGGCATTACAGAGACCCTTGAGCTGTGCAACGCCAATCCACCAATCTCGGATTTAGACTCTCTCGACGTACTTCACCGCACGCTGCAGAAGATGGATGACCATACCGAGCTTCGGAGCGTTATATGGGAGCGAGCAGCTAAGGCAAAGCCACAAGATCATGCTCTTCAGATGAGGTGGTTCAAGTTCGGATATGAGGCTGGTGACTGGAAGTCAGCCCAGAAAGTGAGTTGGGAAGAAGCCTATGTTACATTGGCATGGTATTGAGGTCCAAATTGCTAATGAGTGCCATCGTTCGTATTGCAGGCTGCTATGAGTCTCCAAAAAAACTTTCCTCGGGAGCGAAAGTACTATTTCTGGGCCATTTTCCTCTGTTATCTCGTTTCAGATGATGCGGCTAGCTCGGACATGGACCGCAAGTTGTTCGGGACACTTGCGTATCGCTTTGCTCAGAAGGCAGTAGCCGATGTACCCTCTAATCCGGTATGTAACTTTCCCCCAAAGACTACAAGCGCACCGAAGATTGGATATAATATTTGGGCATAAATGACTGACATAATCCATGGCTTACTACAGGCTGAATTGCTAAGCTCTCCGAGAGCCATACAAACCGCCGAGGAACTTCTCTTGGTTATTCGAATTCTCCAATCGCAAGGTCGATGGGCAGAAATTGTGCAGGTTCTCGATAGCGAGAAAACTGGTCTCAGCTCTCGGATTGTTAATAACGACAGGAGTTTCATGCTAGTCAAAGTCGTTGGTCTGGGGGCTGCCGAACTCTGGGAAGATGGGTACTCGTACGTCAAAAGTCTGCTTGCTGTGTCTGAAGACGAAGCAGAGCGCAGCACTCTGCATGAGCGTGATAATTGGAAATACTGGAACTTGCTCATCTTAGCCGTGCGTCGTCTTGAAAGCAGTCCGGAGTATGTATCCCAATGTTTTACTTCTACACGATCAAACCCTCAGCTAACAAATGATTACCTACTTCGTAGGCTACTTTCAGACTCGCAGCAGCATATCGAGAAATTCATCGAATTCAGTCCAAAGTCGCGCAATGCGCACATTGCTCTCATGGACATAGTCCTAACCGGGTTTAAACGAGGCGAGCGGACTGAGGATGATCTAGTTGTTGCGTGCCAAAGATACTTCGACCAACACAAGCACAAACTCTATGCTTTTAAAGACTTAAGAGGGCTTTTGGAGACCCGTGATGACGCTTTGATTCACCGAGTAGCTCAAAGTTGCATGGACAGCGTCGAAGGGAAACCCGTAAGTGCAAATTCTGCTGAACCCAGTCAATGCGAGCTAATCAACATTCCAGGATGATGCCATTCCATTGATCAATGCGTACAAGCTACAGTACTGCGACCGTATTTCAGGCAAGAGCAACGCATCCAAATCTATTATTGAGACTCTTGTCCGCAATTGTCTTTACTTTTACGATGCGTTCACACTTTTAGGAAAGACCAAGGATCCAAAGAAAGAAAGCCAACCAGATACTGCTTCCGCAATGGAAAGTCGGCCCACTGATGACTTCTGTATCATTGCCGCAATGGCCCTTCTTCAGCCCAACCCAGCTGATCTGGCATCTGAAAAAGTCAGCAACACTGCCCTGATTCGCGCCGCTGGGATTCTGGAACATCTTCTAATCGATTCACCGCATAACTACGAGGCGATTCTGATGTTGATTCGCATTTATGTTCTTCTCGGCGCCGGTTCCATTGCTATGAGGTGGTTTGGCAAGCTATCTGTCAAGCAAATGCAGTATGACAGTGTTGCTCATAACCTTTTCACCCGTTTTGCCACCATCCACCCTCATCCCGCGCCTCCTATCGAGGGCGGAGAGTATAAGGATTTTGAACCGCAAGTTGCATTTATCGGCGCTCTTGACTTTTATCGTAGTGCAAACTTCACTATCAAGAACTCTTTGATAAAAGGTCTTGATGATGGAACTTACGTCAATCTAGACGACACAATCGAACTTCAAAGACGCATCGGGGACAGTATCTGCCGGAGAATGTGGGCTCTGGACTTACGGCGGATGCAAAGAATCCGTAAAGGAAACCACTTGGCCCTCCATGAGGACGTCGGTCAGCAACCCCCAGTCTCTCATGTACTCCTAGCATACTTGAATACTAACCACCTTATAGCCCAGGATACATCACCAGCTCAAGATCAGCGGAAGTATGATGCTTTTATGAACCTGGAACGTTGTGATCAATCTCCATTTGAGCACCG